GCAGCAGCTAAGAAGTTTTTTTGATGATTCATAGCTCTTGGTAAACACAGCACAACATGTAAATTGTCCATTTTTTTGTTCATTTCCAGTTTGTTTGTTTTCTGTTTGCAAACTGTAAATTATTATACTTGAAAACTGAAGTATTTTGTTTGAGATAATTTTTTTTTTTAATTCTTGATTTTTAATTTGATCAGAGTTGTACAGGGTTTGAATGACTGCTCTTTTCCAAGTGTGTGTGGCATTTGCAATGGAAGATTCCTGAATATGATGTAATATAATCTTAAGAGGTCTGACATTATATTTACTGTTCAATACTGGTCCAGGACTCATTTCACAAACTCAATCACTGTCCCAGGAACGTTCTGAACTGTGGTTAAAAAGTAATTGCAATACGATCAAGTATTTTAACGCATTCCCTTTGGTAATACCTCTACAATAAGGCGGATTTTTCATCCAAAAGTGTTAAAGCTTTATTGTATTGGTGAAAGCAAGAACCTGAAGTTGTGAATGTGTATTTTGAATCTTTAAAAAAAACTCAAATGTTTTTCTTCTCAAACAATTTACATAAAACTCAAATCAAAGACTTTTCGTGTCGTCTCATTTTTATTTAAAAATCTTGTATGTGTCTGTGTGTATATGTATATAGTATATGTTATATATGTTGCCTGTTGCATATTGTAATATACGTAATTGTCAGCTCCCAGTGTGTAAGTGAGTAGCAGAAGTGCAGCTGGATGCAGATGTAACTCTGTCTGACAGGGCCGGCCTCATGCAGGGGATTCTGTAAGAACCCCAGCCGAGAGCCATAGCGCTGCTCTATGGAAGCTTCTATGACCCGGGCCATCGTTAGGGATTAGATCAGAGACAGAGGGCTTTAACACACTTTCTCCACCTTTATTCAGCTCCAGTCATCACAAACAACTGATATAGTGAAAGAACAGAAGTGACTACAGTCCAGAATGTTTGAAAAATACAGGCTGATCAGTTTATGATGGAATACATGTTTTCTCATGGGAAATGTCAAAAATTATAGTTTTTATATTTTGTTTTGTTTTGATGGGATACATGTTTTGTTTTTGTTTTTTTCTCTTGGTTTAAAGGCTTTCTGTCAATAGTGAAAGATCAGAAACGATTGCAATCCAGAATGTTTTGAAAAATACAGGCCAATCGGTTTGTAGAGTTGAGGATAAATGTTTTATTATCGGAAATGTTAGAAATATATCCTTTTTAATTTAATTGTATTTTTTCTCTGTTATTTTCTGAGGTGAAAAGAACTGAAGCAATTGCAATCCAGATTGTTTTGAAAAATACAAGAAATTCTATATATATATATGTGACCCTGGACCACAAAACCAGTCACAAGGGTCAATTTTTTGAAATTGAGATTTATACACCATCTCAAAGCTGAATAAATAAGCTTTCCATTGGTGTAGGGTTTGTTATGATAGGGCAATATTTGGCCGAGATACAGCTATTTGAAAATCTGGAATCTGAGGGTGCAAAATAATCAAAATATTGAGAAAATCGCCTTTAAAGTTGTCCAAATGAAGTTCTTAGCAATGCATATTCCTAATCAAAAATTAAGTTTTGATATATTTACGGTAGGAAATTTACTAAATATCTTTATGGAACATGATCTTTACTTAATATCCTAATGATTTTTGGCATAAAAGAAAAATCAATAATTTTGACCCATGCAATGTATTTGTGGCTATTGCTACAAATATACCCCAGCGACTTAAGACTGGTTTTGTGGTCCAGGGTCACATATATGGTTTTTATTTTATTGTATTTTATATTTCTCTGTGTTTCTCTGTAGTGAAAGAACAAATGCAATTTTGAAAAACAGGCTGAGCAGTTTATAATGGGCTAAAATTGTTTTTGGAAATGTTCAAAAACTAGCTTTTATTTAATTTAAAAATTTTTTTTTTTTTATGTGATGCTATCAAATGTTTGTATGTTTGTATGAGCATCCTGACCAGCCTGCAGTCAATCACTGACTTAGTCAATTGCTAGATGTTTAATAGCGTATTTGCTTTAGGTGTGTCAAATAAAAAGTTAATGTTCATAGTGCTACAATAACTAATCCTCAAATCCTTTGTTAAATCAACACAGGAAGTTGCCACTGTTATGATCTGAATGACTGTTTAGATGCTACAGGCACATTTGTGACATTAGAGTATTGCGCTGGGAATTCTGGGATATGCCGATGATTCTTAGCACTGATAATCCACCAGCCGTTCCGTCCCTCTTTCTCTCTTCGCACTCAATCACTGCTCTATGCTCTGGCTTGATTGTGTACTCTCGCTCTCTCCCCCACCCCCTCCTCTCTCTTTTCAGGGGATTACACAGAGAGATGTCATGTACGTTTAGCACATCTGTCACTCCATCCCAGCATGCTGTGCGTTCAACCCAGCACGAGCTCACTGGCCCTAACAGGAGATGCAGTTGTGAACCATTTCAAATGGTTTCCTCTACATTTTTAATTACCTAGTTACTTAAGGACACTTTAGGTGCAATTATTCTTAGTGCTTTAAATGACGGTCAGGTTTAGGTTTTTTTTGCATTTGTGTCTGTGACTCATTTCTTTGCACTTCCTGTATGAATAGTAGTTGCGCCCTTTCAAGGCAGCCATATTGTCACCTGAGGTAAATTAAAATTTTAAGAACTTTGTCCACAACAATTCCCTCTTAAAATGACCTTCCCTTCAGGAATAATAGTTTTCAGCATATTTATGTTTCCAATAGGCCCATAATTGAACAGTTATGGGACTGTGGGGACACAATGATATCCTTATTGCTGTGTCTTCACCTTGGACAGGCATTGTCAGCTCCAGTTTTGACTGTGTCAGAGCTTTAAATAGGAGATAATCGCCTCACAGAATGAGTTTTGTTGGACAATAGTCAAACTACAAAATGAATTGACCTGAGGTACTTCTTAACTGCGAATAATAAAATAAGACCTTTCAGTAATTACATTGAGGTTTTTTTGTTTTGTTTTGTTTTTTAACAAGGGTCATGGGAGTTCGTTGGTACACCACCTTAGACTGGTTTAGGTACCATTAGACAATCAAAGTGTCAGAGCTGTAAAGGGAGATAATCACCTCCCTAAACGAGAGCACAAAATTGTTTTTAAGAGCTCCAAAATTAATTGACCTGAGGTACTTGTCATCTGTGAATAAAAAATAAAAAAAAATGTATGCCGCATGCTCATATGCTAATTGACCATTTTAATGCCTGAAGTGAGCCAATTCAGTGCAAAAGCTAATAAGCTGTGGACCACTCGAAGACTAGCTTGGACAGTCTGGAAAACCGGCTAGAACACTTGAAGACCAGTTTGATCAGGTTAGGAGACCATCTGTTTTAAACCAGTTAAGACCAGCAATCCATGGTGAGTTTGTTCAGGAGTGATGTTCTTTTCAGGTAATATTTTAGCTACATCACGTTTCATAATCATTATCTGTCTACTTTGAATCTTCTCAGCGGACAACTACTGGAAGTATGTGACCCTGGACCACAAAACCAGTCATAAGGGTCCTTTTTTTAAATTGAGAATAAATAAGCTTTCCATTGATGTATGGTTTGTTATGATAGGACAATATTTAGCTGAGATACAACTATTTGAAAATCTGGAATCTGAGGGTGCAAAAAAATCAAAATATTGAGAAAATCGTCTTTAAAGTTGTCCAGATGAGTTGTCCTTAATGCATATTACTAATCAAAAATTAAGTTTTGATATATTTACAGTAGGAAATTTACAAAATATCTTTATGGAACATGATCTTTACTTAATGTCCTAATGATTGTTGGCATAAAAGAAAAATCTATCATTTTGAGCCATACAATGTATTTTTGGCTATTGCTACAAATATACCCAAGTGACTTAAGACTGGTTTTGTGGTCCAGGGTTACATATGGTGTATGAAATCGTCCCTCCTCATCATCATCATCATCATCTTCACATCCAGTGGTTTGTAATCGTGTAGATGTGCTTTTCCTGGGCTCACAAGAGGTATAAATGGAAAACGTTTCGGTCGACCTTTTAGTAATTACTTTCAGTTTATGCTGCTCCATGTGTGAATGTTATGCTACATGCTATGCTAATTGGCAAATTTAAGGCCTGAGCTGAGTTATTCCTTGTTTAAACAGTGCTAATAAGACGTTGTCAACACAGGTAAAAATAGGCTGATTTTAGCTGGCTACCAGGCTGGTCAAGTTTAGAAAGGTTTTGAGCACTCGTTAGCTAGTCAGCCTGAAAAATTAGCTCACTGACCAGCTAAATCAGCCAAACACCATCTTTGCCAGGTGGGGAGAACAACTAGACCACCTGAAGACCAGCTAACTGTTTTAAACCACCAGAAATCTGTGGCAAGTGAAGTTTCATGTTTAGTAACTGTTATCTGTTTTTCTATCATTTTCTCAGCAGACAAGAATTGAAGAACTGCAGAGGAATCTCCTAGGTGTTTGCAGGTAAATACGGTGTATGAATTCGTAGTTCCTGGTCTTCATCTGCGGAACAGATAAATAGGTTTGTAATCCTAATTCTCTGGGCTCCCAAATGGGTAAATCTAGTAACGGTTGGTTACGCTACTGACCAGCTAAATCAGCCAAACACCATCTTTGCCAGGTGGGGAGAACAACTAGACCACCTGAAGACCAGCTAACTGTTTTAAACCACCAGAAATCTGTGGCAAGTGAAGTTTCATGTTTAGTAACTGTTATCTGTTTTTCTATCATTTTCTCAGCAGACAAGAATTGAAGAACTGCAGAGGAATCTCCTAGGTGTTTGCAGGTAAATACGGTGTATGAATTCGTAGTTCCTGGTCTTCATCTGCAGAACAGATAAATAGGTTTGTAATCCTAATTCTCTGGGCTCCCAAATGGGTAAATCTAGTAACGGTTGGTTACGTTGCATTGGTCAGTCCCTTATTAAGTAATGTGATTAGCAGTCAGTGGGTGGATGCAACAAACATGACGTCAACAGCGGAGGCTGACCTAGTCTGCAAAACACAGAATTCATAGTTTTCAAGTTTTCTCTCTGATTGTTGTCCTCTAGTTAGAGCTTTTGATTGATAAATGCATTGAGTTCTTTCACTTTTATTGTGTGGAAAAGATAAAGTCAGCCATCTGCCTTTCAGTGTAGACAGCCGCATCTTAATCCAGATTATGGCTGCAGCATAAACGTTTTTTTCTTTTTTCTGGCCGCCATTACTAGTCAACAGTGTGTCCTTGATAACAGACAGGCAGGTCGGTTAGCCTAGCTCCAATTAGACCACCAACAATCCATCTGAGGGACCTCTCTGCCGGAAACTAAGGAACTTCACCAAAAGATTTCAGGAAATCGCAATTTGACGTCAATCTAGAGACTCCAACAGGGTAAAAAATGGCATTTTTAATTAAAAGTATGGTGGGAAACCCACTGAAGGGAATGGGATTTGGAGGAGGAGAGGAAAAGGCTGAGGAGGAGACCCCCAAGGACCCCGCAGCGGCCGCCGGTATGACTAGAGAAGAATATGAGGAGTACCAGAAGCAGGTAGTGGAGGAAAAGTAAGTAAGGTTTGGGCCCCTCAAGTCTTATTTGTGCTTACGTACTTAGCATTTAATGACATGACAAAGTAAAGGAAGAATCTATGCCGGCATGCATATTAAGTCTGTATTCTTTGGAGATAGTGTTGCTCTTAGTGAGATTAATGCATTATTAATCCCAACTGTTGCCAATTTGGATCAGGATCCTTTTGTATCTTCCACACTTAAAGCTGATGATACATCACAGAAATGCTGTAATTAAAATAAAAACTGCATTGATGTCCATTGCAAAGGGAGCTGCAGAGATTATCAGAGCAAGAGAATGACGCAAACTTAATCTTAAAGGCATCTGATATTCTCCATGATGATGTATTCATGCAAACACCTGCACCTTAACTACGTCAGGGTGTAAAAAACTATCTCAGTGATTAAAGATGAACAGACTCCATGTTGGTATCAGAAAGTAAGCGTCAGGTGCTAGCTGCTAATCAGTCCTAAGAGCAGGGCTTAGCACGCGTTATCCTGGCCTTGTTGATCTGGATAATGCTATTTTTAGAAGCAATCATGATTTAGAGTGAGCAATGAAAGTATTGGAGAATGTTAGACCTCTGCATATGTAAAATCTACATTTATTTATTTATATTTATTTTACCAGGCCATAGTTGGCCGACATTTTGTTTATTGTCAAAAATAAACCTAGCTGATATTTATTTATGACTAATTCATAAATTATGACATTTGCAGTGTAACAGTTGAGGTCTGATTTAATGGAGTTATCTAAAAAAAAAAAATCTTTGTGGTTTTCTGAAATTCACAGTGTTTATAATTCAGTGCTGCTTATAAACAAGGAACATGATTACATAACCAGATTAACACATGGAGTGATGCCATTCATTCCGGTCATAAAAACATTTGCATATATACTAAAAGTAAATATGCAAACTAACATAAATTTTAAACTCAATTTAATATATATATATATATATATATATATATATACACACACACACACCAATCATAAATATCAAATTGTACAGACAAAAAGCATCTGAAGCCTGATTGCAACTATTGCCAGTTTAATCCCAAGATTTGATATTATTCATGTTCAAATGAGATGAGATGATAACTCACATCGACAGGCTCACTTAAGGCTAGAAACAGATGATTCATACAGTAAACATACATGCCTGCTGTGAGATTACATCTAAACATCTGAAGATCTTTGTGTTGCTTCAGATCAAACATCCATAGGATTTTATTATCTAGTTGTTGCTGGTAAGCTAGCTAGGAGCTTTGCCTCAAGTATAGCCATAGCACTGCCTGAACAATGCCGTAAGCATCCTGAAGCTCTTTATCTGGAATTAAGCTGTAGAGCTAAACCCCGGAGATCCTTTTATTTTACTGCTACAGTGTTTTGTCACGCATGGATTTTTAAACAAACTGTTTGTGCAATGCATGTTTTCCACTGAATTATACATGTTTACGGTGGTATGTTTTTTACATGAAAATCACAAGATTTGTATCCACTATATTACATGGAATTTTTTATTTATTTATTTTTATTTGTTTAAAGCTAGATTAATGCGCTGTATTTGTCTTAGCATGTAATAAAGTGTCGTCAAAACATTTCTGACCCACAGAATGGAAAGAGATGCAGACTTCTTGCACAAGAAAGCAGAGAGGGCCACTCTGAGGGTTTGTCTACGAGAAAAATACCGACTTCCTAAAGTAAGAGCCATTTTGCTACTCCCTCCCTTCTCAAATTCAAAAATAATCAATTTTAATAAGGAAATGTTCTTCAGTTGGCAACTGACATTAACTTTTTTTTCTTTAAGATTACGGTTATAATTTATATACCATTCAAATTTGGGGTCAGTACATTTTTTTATATTTTTTAAAAGTCTCCTATGCTCACAGAGCCTGCATATTTTATAAAAAATAAAAATAAAAATAAAATGTAATTGTTTACAATTTATATGAATATTTTATTATAAAATAAATAAATATCTGTATAATATATAATAAATATTTATTAAATAATAAATATTTATTATATTTAATATTTTACCATTTAAAAATACTATTTTCTATTTTAATTTACTTTAAAATGTAATTTATTCCTGTGATGACAAAGCCGACGAATAGCAGCCATTATTCCAGGCTTTACTGTCACATGATCCTTCAGAAATCATTCTAATATTAAAATAATTAGTTGAAACCATCTCTAGCATTCCCAATTTGCTGTGGCTCCCACACACGCACATATACACAAATGCAGTTTCTCCCATACGGATGCTTTGTTTGGCTCTGAGTTCTTGGCACTCCCGAAAATCAGCTAACTAGATTAAGAGAGTGAACTGAGGTCTGTGCAAGCCTCCAAGCATATTGGCTTTCCTTAACATCTGCTCGCCTTTGCACAGCTTCATTCTCTCTCTTAAATCCTTAATGTAATGCAATAATGCAAAAGACTAACATACGGATAGTAGAGTCTAAAATGATTGTGCATAACAGTGTACAGATCCACCCCAAATTCATTGGCTGAGGCTGAGCCAATGTAAGGCTGGTCAGGATGTTCAATGTAACTATGCAATGCACCACTGGTCCACACTGTTTTTAGCATTTATACATTAGTGGAACTGTGTTTGAAAGTAACATGGTGTGTATTTACCTCTCAGAGTGAGCAGGACGAGAACATGATCCAGATAGCAGGAGATGACGTGGATGTTCCCGAGGAGCTGCTGAAGATGGTGGATGAGGATGCCACGGAGGAGGAGGAGAAGGACTCCATCCTGGGGCAGATGCAGAACTTACAGAACATGGACATGGATCAGATAAAAGAGAAAGCCAGTGCTACACTGACCGAGATCAAGTCCAAGGCTGAGGAGAAGTGCTCTGTCATGTAGTGGTTTTTAACACATTCTCACATTTCTACAAACCAGGTCAGGTTTTTGATGCAGTTTTGATACAAAAACCAGGTCAGGTTTTTGAAATACAGTTTTGAAAAACTTTTTGTTTTTGACATGTCTTCAAATGAAATTTCATGTGAAACCATGTCAAAAGAAGTCACCCACGTTTTTAGTTCCCAAAAGCTGCAAGATCTGGCTCTAGATCAGCTTTTCAGCTTCTCTTGCTTGGCTCCCAGTTATGCTGCTGGACTTTTTCTTTTGTTTGTGTTGTTTGAATAACTGATGTTGTAGTCTATTCCCTCCTTTTCCTTTTTTTTTTAAATTACCTGTAATATTATAATATGCAATATTACCTGTAAATATATCTAACAAACATCTAACTTGAACCCGAGGCGGAGAATCTCTGTTTAAATCCCCCTCCTGCTTTTTTGCACAAGGGATGAGATGAATGTGATGCTGTTATTTCTTCTTCTTCTT